GTCCATGGTGGGAATCCATAGGGGTCCATGGGGGGGTCCATGGGGGGGTTCATAGGGGTCCAGGGGGATCTGTGCTCATCGCCCCCATCACTGGGACCCTGGTGTGGGTTCCCAGCAGGGTCTATGGGGGGTTCCATGGGGGTATCCAAAGGGGCGTCCATGGGGATCCGTAGAGGGGTCCATGGTGAGGTCCATGGGGATCCATAGGGGGGTCCATGGAGGTCCATGGGGGTTCCATGGGGTCTCCGCAGTGCCCCCATCAGGACTGCACCAGGGGCCATTGGGGTCCATAGGGATCCATAGCCAGGTCCATGGGGGTCCATGGGGAGTCCATAGGGATCTATAGCCAGGTCCATGGGGTTCCATGGGGGGTCCATAGGGATCCATAGCCGGGTCCATGGGGGGTCCATGGGGATCTATAGCCAGGTCCATGGGGTTCCATGGGGGGTCCATAGGGATCCATAGCCGGGTCCATGGGGTTCCATGGGGAGTCCATAGGGATCCATAGCCAGGTCCATGGGGGTCCATGGCAGGGTCCATGGGGATCCATAGCCGGGTCCATGGGGTTCCATAGGGGACCCATAGGGATCCATAGACGGGTCCATGGGGTCTCGGTGGTGCCCCCATCAGGACTGCACCAGGGGCATGGGGGTCCATGGTGGTCCCAGTGGTGCCTCAATGGGCTTCAGTTGGGTGTTGGGCACCTCAATGGGCTTGAGTTGGGTGCTGGGTACCTCAATGGGCTTGAGTTGGGTGCTGGGTACCTCAATGGGCTTCAGTTGGACGCTGGGCACCTCAATGGGCTTCAGTTGGACGCTGGGCACCTCAATGGGCTTCAGTTGGACACTGGGCACCTCCATGGGCTTCAGTTGGGTGCTGGGCACCTCAATGGGCTTCAGTTGGGTGCTGGGCACCTCAATGGGCTTCAGTTGGACACTGGGCACCTCAATGGGCTTCAGTTGGGTGCTGGGCACCTCAATGGGCTTCAGTTGGGCGCTGGGTACCTCAATGGGCTTCAGTTGGACGTTGGGCACCTCCATCACCTCCTGCTGCTGCTGGGGCTCTTGGAGTTGGCCACTGGGCACCTCGGTGCTCTGGAGGCCATTGGGCACCTCGGGGGCTTCCAGATGGCCACTGGGCACCTCTGTGCTCTGGAGCTGGATGGTGGCCACCTCCATGGCCTGGAGCTGGATGGTGGCCACCTTGGGGGCCTGTGGATGAGCTTGGAGCTGCCCATTGGCTACCTCAGATGCTTGGAGCTGGATGGTGGCCACCTTTGAAGGCTGTGGAAGAGCCTGGAGCTGCCCATTGGCCACCCCCATGGCCTGGAGCTGGATGGTGGCCACCTTGGGGGCCTGTGGAACAGCCTGGAGCTGGCCATTGGCTACCTCGGATGCTTGGAGCTGGACGTTGGTGACATCCAATGGTGGTGGCAAGACCTGGAGCTGCCCATTGGCCACCTCAGATGTTTGGAGCTGGATGGTGGCCACCTTGGAAGGCTGTGGAAGAGCCTGGAGCTGGATGGTGGCCACCTTGGGGGCCTGTGGAACAGCCTGGAGCTGGACACTGGTGACATCCAATGGTGGTGGCAAGACCTGGAGCTGCCCATTGGCTACCTCAGCTCCTTGGAGCTGGATGGTGGCCACCTCAGATGTTTGGAGCTGGATGGTGGCCACGTTGGGGGCCTGTGGAAGAGTTTGGAGCTGCCCATTGGCTACCTCAGATGCTTGGAGCTGGATGGTGGCCACCTTGGAAGGCTGTGGAAGAGCCTGGAGCTGCCCATTGGCCATCTTGGATGCTTGGAGCTGGATGGTGGCCACCTTGGAAGGCTGTGGAACAGCTTGGAGCTGGATGGTGGCCACGTTGGGGGCCTGTGGAAGAGCCTGGAGCTGCCCATTGGCCACTTCAGATGCTTGGAGCTGGATGGTGGCCACCTTGGGGGCCTGTGCAAGAGCCTGGAGCTGCCCATTGGCTACCTCGGATGCTTGGAGCTGGATGGTGGCCACCTTGGGGGCCTGTTGAAGAGCCTGGAGCTGGACACTGGTGACATCCAATGGCGGTGGCAAGACCTGGAGCTGGACGTTGGCCACCTCTGTGCCTTGGAGCTGGACGTTGGTGACATCCAATGGCTGTGGTAGGGCTTGGAGCTGCCCATTGGCTACCTCAGATGCTTGGAGCTGGATGGTGGCCACCTTTGGGGCATGTGGAACAGCCTGGAGCTGGATGGTGGCTACCTTGGGGGCCTGTGGAACAGCCTGGAGCTGGCCATTGGCTACCTCAGATGCTTGGAGCTGGATGGTGGCCACCTTGGGGGCCTGTGGAAGAGCCTGGAGCTGCCCATTGGCTACCTCAGATGCTTGGAGCTGGACGTTGGTGACATCCAATGGCTGTGGTAGGGCTTGGAGCTGGACGTTGGCTACCTCAGATGCTTGGAGCTGGATGGTGGCCACCTCGGATGCTTGGAGCTGCCCATTGGTGCCCTCAGGGGGCTGCACCCCACACGCCGACAGCCCCCCCCCGATACCACCCCTTATCACAACAACACTGGTCCCCAATGGAGCCCCGGTCACCGCCTGGATCTGCCCCACACCGGGCACCACCAGGATGCTCTGCCCGGCAACAGGGACCCCCTCGGGGGGCTCCGCCGTGGGGCTGGGCAGCACCAGGAGCTTCTGTGGGGCCGCCGTGGGGCCGGGTGCAACCTGGAGCCCTTGGGGGGGGTGCAGGAGGAGGAGGAAGGTCTGAGGGGGGGTGCGGGGCACTGGGGCAGTACCATGGGTACGGAGGTGCCGCTGCAGGTAGGAGGCCACGGTGAAGGCCTTGGCGCAGAGCGGGCATCGGTGGGGCCGGGCGTTGGTGTGGGTCCGGCGATGGAGGCGGAGGTTGGAGGAGTGGGTGAAGGTCTTGGGGCACTGGGGGCAGGCATAGGGGCGCTCGCCCGTGTGCACCCGTTGGTGCTGCCGCAGGTTGGAGGGCTGGGCGAAGGCCTTGCCGCACACCCCACAAGTGTGGGGCCGCTCGCCCGTGTGGAGCTGGCGGTGGCGCCGGAGGCTGGAGGAGTTCTTGAAGGCCTTGGGGCACTCGGCGCAGCGGTAGGGCCGCTCGCCCGTGTGCTGCCGCTGGTGGTACTGGTAATGGGAGGCCCACTTGAAGGTGAGCCCGCATTGGGCGCACTCGAAGGCCCGCAGCCCAGTATGGACCCGTTGGTGGGTCTGGAGCAAGGAGGAGCGCTTGAAGGCCTTAGGGCACTGTGGGCACGGGTAGGGCCGCTCACCAGTGTGGTCCCGTAGGTGATACCGCAGCCCCGAGGAGCCCTTGAAGGCTTTGCCGCACTCAGGGCACTGGTACGGGCGCTCCGGTAACGGAGGGGAGGTGGGCGCCGGTGCCGGCACCGCCATAGGGGGGTGCCCCAAGAGCCCCGTTGTGAACTGGGGGAAGGGTTTAGGGCACTTGAAGGGGCGCTGGGCAGCGGGGCCGTGGCGGTGCCGCGCCAGCGCCGCGCTGCTCTTGAAGCTCTTGGCGCAGGTCGGGCAGCGGAGAGCGGGCACCGGGCCCGGTGTCGGCGCCCCATGGGTTCCTTGGTGGCCAAGGAGCTCCTCGTGGGTGCTGAGGCTCAGCGGGCACAAAGAGCATCGCCATGGGGGCTCCGGTGCGGTGGGAATGGGGGGCGGCGGTGGGGCCGGAGCGTGGGGCTGGAGCGCAGCGGGGGGCTTCAGGGGGCACTGGTGGGGCCGGGCGTTGGTGTGGGTGCGGCGGTGCAGGAGGAGGTTGGAGGAGTGGGTGAAGGTCTTGGGGCACTGGGGGCAGGCATAGGGGCGCTCGCCCGTGTGCACCCGTTGGTGCTGCCGCAGGTTGGAGGGCTGGGCGAAGGCCTTGCCGCACACCCCACAAGTGTGGGGCCGCTCGCCCGTGTGGAGCTGGCGGTGGCGCCGGAGGCTGGAGGAGTTCTTGAAGGCCTTGGGGCACTCGGCGCAGCGGTAGGGCCGCTCGCCCGTGTGCTGCCGCTGGTGGTACTGGTAATGGGAGGCCCACTTGAAGGTGAGCCCGCATTGGGCGCACTCGAAGGCCCGCAGCCCAGTATGGACCCGTTGGTGGGTCTGGAGCAAGGAGGAGCGCTTGAAGGCCTTAGGGCACTGCGGGCACGGGTAGGGCCGCTCGCCGGTGTGCCCGCGCTGGTGGTAGAGGAGGGCCGAGGAGCCCTTGAAGGCTTTGGGGCACTCGGGGCACTTGTAGGGCCGCTCGCCCGTGTGGCTGCGCTGGTGATGGGCCAGGCGCGAGGACCAGCGGAAGCACTTCCCGCATTCCCGGCATGCGAACGGGGGCTGCGGTGGGGCCGCGGAACCGCACCGGGACCCGGCGGCCATCGGGGACAAGGGAACACGTGGAGATGCCGCGGGAATAGAGGGGAAGGGGGCGTGGTCTATGGGGAGGGGGCGTGGCCTCCGCGGGAGGGGGCGTGGCCTCTCCTAAAGGGGCGCTCTCTCCGCTAGAGGCGACGTGGTTTCCTCTAGAGGGGGCGTGGCCGCCTTGGAAGGGCCTGGTTTCCTCTAAAGGGGGCGTGGCTCGGCCGTAAGGACGCAGTTAACCCGCAGAGGCCACGCCCCCTTTTTGGCACCACCCCCCGCGCAAACCCCGCCCCTCCCCCCCGTCGGCCACACCCCCTTCGCTCCTCCAAGCCCCGCCCTCTTCCTCCCCTCAGGCCCTCCCGGCCCCGCAATCCCGTCCAGGCCCCGCCCCTACGTTCCCCAAAACCCCGCCCCTCGGGCCCTCCCCGTCCCCTCCGCCGCCTCCTCCCGTTCCCCGGTTCCCGTTCACCCCCCCCCCGAACCCGGGGCTCCCGTTCCCGTTACCGCTCGCTCCCCGTTCCCGTTACCGGTCGCTTCCGGCTCCGACGCCGCCGCCGCGCAACGCCTGGGCCGCGCCGAGCGCGAAGCCCCGCCCCTCCCGGCGTCACGCGCGCGCACGCACGCACGCAGGGCCGTGCCTACGCCGCGCAGGGCATGCTGGGAAATGTTGTCCGCGCCGCCGCCATCTTTGTGGGGGTGCCTTGGCAGCGGGACCCCAAAAATGGGCCTAGATCACCCCAAAACGGGCTCGGATCACCCAAAACGGGCTCGGAGCCTCCCAAAACGGGCTCAGAACCCCCAAAACGGGCTCGGATCCCCCCAAAACCGGTTCCTAATCCCCCCAAACCGGCTCGGGTACCCGCAAAACGGGTCCAGATGCCCCCAAAACGGTTCCGGATCCCCCCAAAATAGGTCCAGATCCCCCCAGAATGTGTCCGTAACCCATCAAAATGGGCTCAGATCCCCCAAAACGGGCTCGGATCCCCTAAAATGGTATTGGATCCCCCCAAACGGGCTCGGAACCCTCCAAAAAGGGCTCAAATACCCCCAAAACGGGTCCGGAACCCCCCAAAATTGGTCCAGATGCCCCCAAAACGGGTCCGGATCCCCCCCAAAGAAGCTCGGATCCCCCAAAATGGGCTCGGATCCCCCAAAAATGGGCACGGATCCCCCAAAACGGTTCTGGATCCCCCCAAAACGGGTCCAGATCCCCCCAAATGGGTCCGTAACCCATCAAAACGGGCTCTGATCCCCCAAAACAGGCTCGGATCCCCCAAAACGGGCTCGGATCCCCGCAAAATGGGTCCAGATCCCCCCAAAATGGGTCCGTAACCCATCAAAACGGGCTCTGATCCCCCAAAACAGGCTCACATCCCCCAAAACGGGCTCAGAACCCCCCAAAATGGGCTCAGATCTCTCCAAACCGGGTCCAGATCCCCCCAAAATGAGTCTAAAACCCATCTAAAGGGGCTCACATCCCCCAAAACGGGGTCAGATCACCCCAAAAACGGGCTCAGATCCCACAAAATGGGCTCAGATCCCCCTTTATCCCATATCCCAAATCCCGATCCCGTTGGATCCCGACTCCAGGCCCTTTGGGATGAATCCATGCATTAGGAAGGGCTTGGGATGGGTTCAAAGGGCTTCGAATGGGAATGGGAAGAGCGGGATGGGATCTTGGGACATCGGAATGGGTCGGGGTGGAAATCGCATGGGCTTTAAGGGCCCTGGCTTCCCAAAGGCTGGAATTCCATGGAGCACTGCAGGGAAATGGGGCTGGAATGGGATGGGAAGGGGGGGGGCACTGGATCCATAGGGAAGAGGAGGGCTCAGCGCTGGAGGAGGGGACAATCCCGCTCTCCCCACCCCCATCACCCCGATCCCATGGGAATGTCGGGGTCCCGGCTCCTACCCTTGGGAATGCTCCTCCTGCTCCTCCTATGGGGTGAGTGGGGCTTCCAGGGGCGTCCCAATGGGATCCCTTTGGGAAGGAGGAGGAAGGGGGAGGCCATGGGAAAGCCTCGGTGCCGTTCCCAATGGGAACATCGGGATCGGGATCGGCTTTGTTTGAGTTGGGGCCGCGGCGAAGGGGGCAAAGTCCTTGGGTTCCCGGTGCGAATGGGAGCGCTCCAGGGAGAGGGAATGGGGAATGGGAATGGGAATGGGAACAGGGGCATTGCATGGATGGGGAATGGGAACAGGGGAATGGGAGCGAGAGCATTGCATGGATGGGGAATGGGGAATGGGAATGGGAATGGGAACAGGGGCATTGCATGGATGGGGAATGGGAACAGGGGCATTGCATGGATTGGGAATGGGAACAGGGGAATGGGAATGGGAGCATTGCATGGATTGGGAATGGGGAATGGGAAGGGGAGCATTGCATGGATCGGGAATGGGGAATGGGAATGGGAGCATTGCATGGATTGGGAATGGGAACAGGGGAATGGGAATGGGAGCATTGCATGGATTGGGAATGGGGAATGGGAACAGGAGCATTGCATGGATTGGGAATGGGAACAGGGGAATGGGAATGGGGGCATTGCATGGATTGGGAATGGGGAATGGGAACAGGAGCATTGCATGGATTGGGAATGGGGAATAGGAACAGGGGCATTGCATGGATGGGGAATGGGAACAGGGGCATTGCATGGATTGGGAATGGGGAAATGGGAATGGGAATGGGAGCATTGCATGGACTGGGAATGGGGAAATGGGAATGGGAATGGGGGCATTGCATGGATTGGGAATGGGGAATGGGAACAGGAGCATTGCATGGATTGGGAATGGGAACAGGGGAATGGGAATGGGAGCATTTCATGGATGGGGAATGGGAACAGGGGAATGGGCGTATTGCATGGATTGGGAATAGGGAAATGGGAACAGGAGCATTCCATAGATTGGGAATAGGGAAATGGAAATGGGAGCATTGCATGGATCGGGAATGGGAACAGGGGAATGGAAGCAGGAGCATTGCATGGACTGGGAATAGGGAAATGGAAACAGGGGCATTCCATAGACTGGGAATGGGAATAAGGAGATGGAAACTGGAGCATTGCATGGATTGGGACTGGGAAAATGCAATCAGGATTGCGTGGATTGGGAATAAGGAAATGTAAATGGGAACATTTCATAGACTGGGAATGGGAAAATGCAATCAGGAGCATTCCATAGATTGGGAATGGGAATAAAGAGGTATAAACAGGAGCATTGCATGGATCGGGACTGGGAAAATGCCATCAGGATTCCTTGGATTGGGAATGGGAAAATGCCATCAGGATTCCTTGGATTGGGAATGGGAAGGGAAAAGGCATCCCAAGGCCCCTTTCCCTTTGGGAACGGACGCCTGGACTTGGGTTCCCTTTGCCTTAGAGCCAAGGGCAGGGCCCATCCATGGCTGCCACCCACCCCGTTCCCCCTTCCCGTGTCCCACCCGGATCCCTTCCCTCTCCCAGCTCCAGCTGCTTCCCAATGGACACCAGTGCGCTTGGCCCAGGGTCCCCACGCCTGCGCCGGCCGGGTCGAGCTCTTCCATGAGCACCAATGGGGGACGGTTTGCGACCAGCACTGGGACCTATGGGACGCGGCCGTGGTGTGCCGGGAGCTGGGCTGCGGCCCCGCACGCTCGGCCCCTGGGGCCGGGAGCTTCGGGATGGGAACGGGACCCATCTGGATGGATGGGGTCAACTGCACCGGGATGGAGGTGGCGCTGTCCTCGTGCGGGAGCAAGGGATGGGGGAAGAGCGACTGCGGCCATGGCAACGATGCCGGTGTGGTGTGTGCAGGTAAGGGAAGGGGGGATGCTCCCGTCCTTGTCCTGGTCCAGTGGGATTGGGATCAGCAGAGGGAGGGATGCTGGGAGCATGTGGCATCGTCGCGTCCTGGTACCCTGCATCACTGCATCCTGGTACCCTGCATCATTGCATCCCGGTACCCTGCATCATCACCTCATCCCGGTCCCCTGCATCACCTCATCCCAGTCCTCTACATCATCACATCCTGGTACCCTGCATCATCACATCCTGGTACCCTGCATCATTGCATCCTGGTACCCTGCATCACATCCTGGTACCCTGCATCACTGCATCCTGGTACCCTGCATCATTGCATCCTGGTACCCTGCATCATTGCATCCTGGTACCCTGCATCATCGCATCCTGGTACCCTGCATCATTGCGTCCTGGTACCCTGCATCACATCCTGGTACCCTGCATCATTGCGTCCTGGTACCCTGCATCATTGTGTCCTGGTACCCTGCATCATTGCATCCCGGTACCCTGCATCATCACCTCATCCCGGTCCCCTGCATCACCTCATCCCAGTCCTCTACATCATCACATCCTGGTACCCTGCATCATCACATCCTGGTACCCTGCATCATCACATCCCGGTACCCTGCATCATCACCTCATCCCGGTCCCCTGCATCACCTCATCCCAGTCCTCTACATCATCGCATCCTGGTACCCTGCATCATTGCATCCTGGTACCCTGCATCATTGCATCCTGGTACCCTAAATCATCACATCCTGGTACCCTGCATCATCGCGTCCTGGTACCCTGCATCATTGCATCCTGGTACCCTGCATCATTGCATCCTGGTACCCTGCATCACATCCTGGTCCCCTGCATCACCCCATCCTGGTACCCTCCATCACCCCATCCCGGTCCCCTCCATCACTTCATCCCAGTCTCCTCCATCACCCCATCCCAGTCCCCTCCATCACTTCATCCCGGTCCCCTCCATCACTTCATCCCAGTCCCCTGCATCACCCCATCCCAGTCCCCTCCATCACCCCATCCCAGTCCCCTCCCTCACTTCATCCCAGTCCCCTCCATCACCCCATCCTTCCTCCTGCATCCCCACATCCCACTCCCAAGGTGTCCACCCATTGCTGACCGCTGGCTGCAGCCAACCACCGCAGCGGGAAGCAGGATGCTCCCGCACAACCGAGGGCTGCTCATGGCGCTCCTCTTGTGTCCTCCCCTATAGACACCCCCATGCACCCCATTGCCACCCGCACCGGCCCCACAGAGCTCCGCCTGGTCAACGGCTCCGACCGCTGCTCCGGACGGCTGGAAGTGAGGCGCCATTCCCAATGGGGGACCGTGTGTGACCGCGCCTGGGGCACCCCCGAGGCCACTGTGGTGTGCCGGGAGCTGGGCTGTGGGGCCCTGGCATCACCCTATGGAGCAGCTCACTTCGGCCAAGGCTCCGGTCCCATCTGGCTCGACCACGTCCAATGCAATGGGAGCGAAGCCGCCCTGGCCCAGTGCTTGGCCCGACCCTGGGGTACCAATGGCTGCGACCATGGACACGATGCTGGGGTTGTCTGTGCAGGTGAGCGTCCCCCTCATGGACCTGGGTTGGTCCATGGAGGATGCTCTGCTCCGGGGTGGTCACCTCCGTGCCCATCGCTTTGCTCTTGAGCTCATGGATCCAGGATAGAGGCTCTCAGCAGGGATCGGAGGGATGGGTTGCATGGGCAAGGGGTGATGGGAGCACCTAAAGAGGGGAGATGGAGGATGGATGCGATGGAGTCGTTCCCTAGGAGGGTGCTGGGACACTGGGATGGGTTGGAGGGAGAAGGTGGGAGCAATGCCCCATCCCTGGCAGTGCTCAAGGCCAGGTTGGACACAGGGGCTTGGAGCAAGCTGCTCCAGTGGAAGGGGTCCCCATGGCAGGGGTTGGAACTGGATGGGCTTGAGGGCCCCTTCCAACCCAACCCAACTCATCCCATCCCTTCCAACCCAACCCAACCAATCCCATCCCTTCCAACCCAACCCAACCCATCCCTTCCAACCCAACCGATCCCATCCCTTCCAACCCAACCGATCCCATCCCATCCCTTTCAACCCAACCCATCCCTTCCAACCCAACCCAACCAATCCCATCCCTTCCAACCCAACCCATCCCATCCCTTCCAACCCAACCGATCCCATCCCTTCCAACCCAACCGATCCCATCCCATCCCTTTCAACCCAACCCATCCCTTCCAACCCAACCCAACCCATCCCTTCCAACCCAACCGATCCCATCCCATCCAACCCAACCCATCCCATCCAACCCAACCCATCCCATGCAACTCATCCCATCCATCCCAACCCATCCCATCCCATGCAATCCAACCCAACCCATCCCATCCCATCCAACCCAACCCAACCCATCCCATCCATCCCATCCAATCCCATCCCTTCCAACCCAACCGATCCCATCCCTTCCAACCCAACACATCCCATCCCTTCCAACCCATCCCATCCCTTCCAACCCAACCCATCCCATCCTTTCCAACCCAACCCGTTCCTTGAGTCCATGAGCTTGAAGGCCCCTTCCAACCCAACCCATCCCTTCCAACCCAACCCATCCCTTCCAACCCAACCCATCCCTTCCAACCCAACCCATCCCTTCCAACCCACCCCATCCCTTCCAACCCAATCCATCCCTTCCAACCCACCCCATCCCTTCCAACCCACCCCATCCCTTCCAACCCACCCCATCCCTTCCAACCCACCCCATCCCTTCCAACCCAACCCATCCCTTCCAACCCACCCCATCCCTTCCAACCCAACCCAATTCCTTCCAACCCACCCCATCCCTTCCAACCCACCCCATCCCTTCCAACCCAACCCATCCCTTCCAACCCACCCCATCCCTTCCAACCCACCCCATCCCTTCCAAACCACCCCACCCCATCACTCTATGACCTCAAAGCCCCCTTCCAACCCAATGTCCCCCATGAGTACCCCGATGCTTCTCCCCTTTCCCCTTCCCCAGAGGCGGGCTCCTCCCCGCAGCAGCCCCTGCGCTTGGCCAACGGCTCCAACCCCTGCGTGGGCCGAGTCGAGGTCCTCCACGACCACAAGTGGGGCACGGTCTGCGACGACGCCTGGGACCTGCTGGACGCCGCCGTGGTCTGCAGGCAGCTGGGCTGCGGGGAGGCCGTGGCCGCCCCCACCTCGGCTCGCTTCGGCCCCGGCGCTGACCCCATCTGGCTCGATGACGTCCACTGCGCCGGCACCGAGGCGGCGCTGAGCCAGTGCCAGCTCCCTGCATGGGGAGAGCACAACTGCGCCCATAGCGAGGACGCCGGAGTCGTCTGCTCAGGTAGCGCCGGGATGGAGCTCTGCTATGGGGCAGGGTCTGTTTGCTCTGCCCTGGCAGCAATGGGGCCTGCACGCCACCAATGCGTTATGGGGTGAGCGGGGGTCACCCAGCGCCCAACTCGTGGAGGGCTGTGGGCAGAGGAGATGGGGCTGCCCCAGGGCTGGCAGGGGGCAAGGTCAGCTTGGATGGGGCTTGGAGTGAGATGATTGAGTGGAAGGGGTCCCCATGGCTGTTCCATGGGTCGATGGGCTCAAAGGTGCTTCCAACCCAACCCATTCCATGGCTCTATGGGCTTGAAGGTCCTTTAGAACCCAACCCATTCCATGGGTCTATGGGCTTGGAGGCCCCTTCCAATCCAACCCATTCCATGGGTCTATGAGCTCAAAGGTGCTTCCAACCCAACCCATTCCATGGGTCTATGGGCTTGAAGGCCCCTTCCAACCCAACCCAACCCTTCCAACCCAACCCAACCCAATCCCTTCCAACCCAACCCAACCAATCCCTTCCAACCCAACCCAACCCCTTCCAACCCAATCCCTTCCAACCCAACCCAACCCAACCCATCCCATCCCTTCCAACCCAACCCATCCCATCCCTTCCAAGCCAACCCAACCCAACCCATCCCATCCCTTCCAACCCAACCCAACCCAACCCATCCCATCCCTTCCAACCCAACCCAACCCAACCCATCCCATCCAACCCAACCAACCCAACCCAACCCAACCCATCCAACCCAACCCAACCCAACCCAACCCATCCAACCCAACCCAACCCATCCAACCCAACCCATCCAACCCAACCCAACCCATCCAACCCAACCCATCCAACCCAACCCATCCAACCCAACCCATCCAACCCAACCCAACCCAACCCATCCAATCCAACCCAACCCATCCAACCCAACCCAACCCAACCCATCCAATTGAGCCCAGGATCTCCCACCGAGGCCCCATCTCCCCCCCGTGCTCCTCTTGCAGGCCCCAACCCCTTGCAGCTGCGGGTGCAGGAGGGCCCCGGGCCCTGCGGGGGGCGCCTGGAGGTGCTCTACAACGGGACCTGGCTCGGGGTGTGCGGCACCGGCTGGAGCCTGCTGGAGGCCGCCGTGGTCTGCAGGCAGCTGGGCTGCGGGGAGGCCCAGGCAGCACCCATGGGTGCCCCCCTGCACCAGGAGCACGGGGGGGCCCTGCTGGAGGGGCTCAGCTGCCGCGGCACCGAGCCGCTGCTCATTGAGTGCCTGCAGACGCACGCGGGGCCGGGCTTGTGCCCATTGGGCTTGGTGGCCACCGTGGTGTGCGCCGAGCCCGAAGGTGAGCGCTGGGGTCCTCCATTGACCCCACATCGGAGCCAAGGCTTTGGGGTGAGGAAGGCTCCAAGCCCCACCTCCGGTGTTGCCCTTTGGGGTGGGACCGTCAGGGTGAAGGCATCTCCATGGGCTTGGGGATGGGCGCATCCCATCTATGGGTGCGGGAGGTGAACCCGATGATGGGAGCATCACACCAGCACCCAAGGGGGGCGATGCTGCAGGAGCCCATGGGCTATAACCATGGCGAGTGCAAGGTCCTACAGTCCATAAAGCAACTGTGACCAGCAGGTCCATGGAGGTGATGCTGCCCCTTTATTCTGCTCTGGTGGGACCTCACCTGGAGCATTGGGTGCAGTTCTGGGGTCCTCAACATAAAGAGGACATGGAGCTGATGGAACAAGTCCATGAGGATGCTCAGGGGATGGAGCAGGTCCTGTATGGAGATAGTTGGGGTGTTCAGCCTGGAGAAGAGAAGCTGATGGAGACCTCAGAGCATCCTTCCGGTGTCTGAATGGGGCCTATAGGGATGCTGGGGATGGGCTCTTCATTAGGGACTGCAGTGATGGGACAAGGGGTAACGGGTTCAAACTGGGACAGGGGAGGTTTAGATGGGATCTAAGGAGGGAATTCTTCCCTGTGAGGGTGCTGAGGCACTGGAATGGGTGCCCAGGGAGTTGTGAATGCTCCATCCCTGGCAGTGCTCAAGGCCAGGTTGGATGAAGCCTTGGGTGCCATGGGTTAGAGCGAGGTGTCCATGCCCATGGTAAGGGTCGGGACTGGGTGATCTCGGGGTCCTTTCCAACCCTATTCTATTCTATGGGGAGGAGGAGGGGTTGGAGCACCCCTTTGAGCCCCACTCTCCCTACAGGAGGGGTCGATCCCTGCCCGGTGCTGGCCGCGCTCCTCGGCACGGGGGCGCTGCTCTGTGGGACCCTCCTCATGCTCTGCCTATGGGCGCGCTGTGGGCGCCGGGGTGGACGCATTGAAGGTGAGAGCAGGAGTGGGGGTCCTGGGGTACGGCTGGGGGGGGTTTGCACCCTATGGGCATCATCCTGCTCCTTCCCGTTGCAGACAAAGCCCCCCTGAAGAGGATGGAGGGCAGCGGGACGGCATCCGAGGCGTAGGAAGGGAAGAGCCCATGGAGACCCCATGGAGACCCCCTTGAGACCCCATCGAGACCCCATCGAGACCCCATCGAGACCCCATTGAGACCCCATCGAGACCCCATCGAGACCCCACTGAGACCCCATCGAGACCCCACTGAGACCCCACTGAGACCCCATTGAGACCCCATGGAGACCCCATGGAGACCCCATTGAGACCCCATCGAGACCCCATTGAGACCCCATGGAGACCCCATTGAGACCCCATGGAGACCCCATTGAGACCCCATGGAGACCCCATCGAGACCCCATTGAGACCTCATTGAGACCCCATGGAGTCCCCATTGAGACCCCATTGAGACCCCATGGAGACCCCATTGAGACCCCATGGAGACCCCATTGAGACTCCATCCCTATGGATCCAGCCCCTGCCGAGCCCCATTCCCGGCTGCTCTTGGCCTCTGGCCTGGGTGTTTGCAGACAGGGATCAATGGCCTCGGGTCAATGCAATCCCAAGGTTGCTCCAGCCCCTATGGGATGAGGTCGGATTCGTTCCCAGTTCTGCTTGGGGGAGCCCCTTTGTGCTGGTCCCCAGCCCCAGTTCCACCTCATTGACCCCCCTAAAGGCACCCATCTCCTCCAGGCCCCATCTTCAGCACCCAGCACCCATCCTCACCCATACAGCACCCATCCCCACCCCTACAGCACCCATCCCCACCCCTACAGCACCCATCTCCGTCCCTACAGCACCCATCTCCACCCCTACAGCACCCATCTCCACCCCTACAGCACCCATCTCCACCCCTACAGCACCCATCTCCACCCCTACAGCACCCATCCCCACCCCTACAGCACCCATCTCCACCCCTACAGCACCCATCTCCACCCCTACAGCACCCATCTCCATCCCTACAGCACCCATCCCCACCCCTACAGCACCCATCTCCATCCCTACAGCACCCATCTCCATCCCTACAGCACCCATCTCCATCCCTACAGCACCCATCTCCACCCCTACAGCACCCATCCCCACCCCTACAGCACCCATCTCCATCCCTACAGCATCCATCTCCATCCCTACAGCACCCATCCCCACCCCTACAGCACCCATCCCCAACCCTACATCACACATCTCCACCCCTACAGCACCCATCCCCACCCCTACAGCACCCATCTCCACCCCTACAGCACCCATCTCCACCCCTACAGCACCCATCCCCACCCCTACAGCACCCATCTCCACCCTACAGCACCCATCTCCACCCTACAGCACCCTGGTGGCCCCCATAATAAAGCCTTCTCCAGCCCCCCCTAAGCTGTTCCCTTGCAGTGGGTGCTCCAAACCCCCACCAGATGGAGCCAATGGCCTCCACCAGGACCGGGGGTAATGGTTTCAATGGGTGATGGTGGGATGAGCATGGGCATGGGGTGGATGGAGAAGGTCTGGACCCCCCCCATCCCAAGGGCTTGGATGGGATCCCCATGGAGAAGGGGATGAGCTTGAAGGCCCCTTCCCAACCCAACCCCTTCCATTGCCCTATGGGCTCCCGGTCTAAAGGGGGTCCAAGGTCTTTGGGGCTGCCATGGGATCCGTGTGTCCCGGAGGCTTTGTTTGCTCCGTGCTTTCCTGGAACACATTGCGCAAAGCAGGGCTCTATGGGGCACCCCCCACCCCACCCCCTGGCATCGCTCCATGGGGAAGTGAAAGTCCCAGCTGGGTCCAAGGCAGAGGAACGGGAGGGATCCCGCTCGGCCCTCCCATTGGCATCCACCCCATTGCCCACCTCCAGCCTGCGGCCATGGCCACGCCGGCACGGATCCATCCCCGGGGCCGGAGCGGGGCCGGACGCGGTCCTGGTAGGGCCAAGAGCATCGGGGTTCTGCTGCTGCTGGCGTGGCTATGGGGTGAGTGCTGCTCCCCTTCGCTTCTGACCTCTGGTTGGGCTCTATGGGGCGGGTGTGCTCTATGGGGTGCAGCAGAAGGGTCTGTGGGGCTGGGGAAGGAGGGGTGGGTTTGGAGGTGGCTTCCAAGGGGTTTAGGTGAGGGCAGGAGCGTTCCCTTTGCCCCATAAGCAGAGGTAGTAGGAAGGGAGGGAAAGCAAATGTGGGTCCTCCTGGACCTCCTCAATCCAAACCAATCCATGGCTCCGTGCTTCCATGGTCCCCGTGCTCCCAAAGAGGTCCCTTCCCCATGGTCTGCTGAAGGATGGGGATCCATCCTGTGGGTGCCCCTTTGGAAGGGGTTAAGGGTGGGCCCCGATGTTGGATCTGGGGCGACCTCCTTGGAGCTGGTTCTCATTCCCAAAGGGGACAGGGAGGAGCAGTCCCCTTTGGATGGGGTTTGGAGGGAGCAGGATGGGATGGAGAGCACCGAAGTTGGGTCTCAGTCGCCAATGGGGGGGCAATGCCATGGGGTCCCTCAAGTCACCGCAGGGGTGGGGTCTGGCTTGGGGGGGGCCTTGCAAGGGCACTTCTGAGCTCTTCAGAAGCCTTTCTCCATGGAGAAGACCTTGGGGACATGGGGACAATGGGGAAAATGGGGTCAATGGGACCAATGGGACATGGGGTCAATGGCACCCAATGGGACATGGAGAAGACCTTGGGGACATGAGGTCAGTGGGGACAATGGGGTCAATGGGACCCAATGGGATATGGAGAAGACCTTAGGGACATGGGGACAATGGGGTCAATAGAGACTCAATGGGACATGGTGGTCAATGCCACCCAATGGGACATGGAGAAGACCTTGAGGACATGAGGTCAATGGGGACAATGAGGTCAGTGGGACCCAATGGGATATGGAGAAGACCTTGGGGACAAGAGGGACATGGGGACAATGGGGTCAATAGGGATGTAATGGGACATGGGGTCAATGGGACCCAATGGGATATGGAGAAGACCTTGAGGACATGAGGTCAATGGGGACAATAGGGTCAATGGGACCCAATGGGATATGGAGAAGACCTTGGGGGCATGAGGTCAATGGGGACAATGGGGTCAATGGGACCCAATGGGACATGGAGAAGACCTTGGGGACATGAGGTCAATGGGACCCAATGGGATACGGAGAAGACCTTGGGGACATGAGGTCAATGGGGACATGGGGCCAATGTATGCATATATATATATATACTGTGCTATAAAGCTCTGTCTTTGCTGCTGGATGCGTGCACCAGCACATGAAGAACCTCAAGGAGCCACAGAAGAAGGCTCCTTAAGGGGAGCCCTTAGAGCCAGTGGGCACCCAAGACCCATGGGGTCCCTTTGGGCTGCGGGAGCACCCTGATTTGGGGATGGACGCCTCAGAACGAAGGGTTCTGCCTTAGGCCACCCCATGCTGAGCCCTGCCCTGCCTTGGGGCTGCTGACGAGGGCAGCGTCCCCATGGCGATGCCGCTATTGCAGCGTTGGCTTTTCTCTCTTCTCCTTCCTGGCCCACCCAGGAAGCTCAGTTCCCTTTGGGGCCTCTTCCCAAAGCTCACGGGGTTCTTGGAATCCAAGAGGTGATCCCAAAGCCCGTTGCTCTGATTGAGCCCTTCCGCACACATCCATGTCCAAGGAGGGATGGGATGGATCCACCTGGATCCAGGCACTGGGGGGATGGAGATGCTCACAGAGCTGGGATGGGGCAGCAAAGGCTCCTTAAGGGGAGGCCTTAGGGCAGCTCCAGTGCCTAAAGGGGTGCAGGAAACCAGGAGAGGGGGCTTTGGACAAGGGATGGGATGAGGGAAGCAGCTTCCAATTGGAAGAGGGGAGATTGAGATGGGCTGTGAGGAAAGAGCTCTTCCTGTGAGGGTGCTGGGACACTGGGATGGGGTGGGGGGGAAGCTGGGGCTGCCCCATCCCTGGTAGTGCTCAAGGGCAGGTTGGACACAGGGGATTGGAGCAAGCTGCACCAGTGGAAGGGGTCCCTATGGCAGGGGGCTGGAACTGGGTGGGCTTGAAGGTCCATTCCCACCCAAACCATTCCATGGGTCTGTGACCTTTTGGGCTCATGGGGTTTAGATGCAGAGGTGGGATTCAGCTGACTTCGGAGTTGACTTAGGTTGACTTCAATAGGCTTCAATTGACTTCTGAGTTGACTTCAATAGGCTTCAATTGACTCACTTCTGAGTTGACTTCAATAGGCTTCAATTGACTTCAGTTGACTTCTGAGTTGACTTCAGTTGTCTTCAATTGACTTCAATTGACTTCAGTTGACTTCTGATTTGGCTTCAATTGGCTTCAATTGGTTTCAATTGACTTCAGTTGACTTCTGAGTTGGCTTCAATTGGCTTCAATTGGTTTCAAATGACTTCAATTGACTTCAGTTGACTTCTGAGTTGGCTTCAATTGGCTTCAATTGGCTTTAATTGACTTCAATTGGCTTTAATTGACTTCAATTGACTTCAGTTGACTTCAAGTCGACTTCTGAGTTTACTTTGGTTGACTTCTGAGTTGACTTCAGTTGACTTCAATTGACTTCAGTTGACTTCTGAGTTGACTCCAATTGGTTTCAATTGGTTTCAATTGACTTCCACTGTCCTCAGTGGACATCTGAGATGCCCAGGGCAGGGCCGCGCTGTCCAACTCCACCTCTCACATCCCCTTCCGGCTGTCAGAAGCCACCCCAAACCCCCCCCATCCACCCCCTGTCTGTCACCTCCTGCTTCCTCCCCATCCCTCCCCTCCAGGCACATCCAATGGGATCCCAATGGGGTCCCTTCGCTTGGAAGGGGGTCCCAGCCGCTGCGCCGGGCGCGTGGAGGTGCTGCACAACGGCACATGGGGCACGGTGTGCGACGACGGATGGGGCTTCCAGGAGGGCCAGGTCGTGTGCCGGGAGCTGGGCTGCGGCTCGGTGCTGTCGGTGGCGCCGGGAGCTCGCTACGGGCAAGGGAAAGGGCCCATCTGGTTGGATGACGTCAACTGCACCGGGGAGGAACCGGCGCTGGGGGGGTGCCGAGCGAAGCCATGGGGGGAGCACAACTGCAACCACGTGGAGGACGCCAGCGTCGAGTGCTCAGGTACCCGCCTGCACCCCTGCATCCGTCCCATGGGGCGCGCATCCCTTCCCCAACCTTCTCCTCCCCATCCCCACCCCAAAACCAGATTCCACCGTGGCCACCTTGGGCACCCTCCAGTTGGTCAACGGCCTCGACCGCTGCGCCGGGAGGGTGGAGGTGCTGCACGAGCACATGTGGGGCACGGTGTGCGACGACGGATGGGATCTGCTGGACGCGGCCGTGGTGTGCCGGCAGCTCGGCTGCGGCACGGCGCTGGCCGCCACCCACGGGGCTCACTTTGGAAGGGGCCACGATCCCATCTGGTTGGATGAGGTCAACTGCACCGGTAGCGAGGCCGCGCTGGTGGATTGCCGGGCCAGCGCGTGGGGCAACACCAACTGCTTCCATGGGGAGG